AAACAATTGCAAGGATGAACAACGAGAAGAGGAACTGAGTACAATGTATAAAAGACTGCACTGGACAAAGAAGTGAAGAAGAGTGCGCGCAAAGGCAGAAGACACTTCCATGACACACTGGCAAGTGAAGCAGAACAGGCTGCAGGTAGGAGAGACAGACCTGACAACACTGTATCAAATGACCAGGTTACTTGCTGTCTGGGAAGAGATCAACACAGATGAAACCAATAAAAGATTACGAAGGGAATCTAATTACCGAAGAAGAGAAACAAAGGAAACGATGGGCTGACCACTTTAAAAAGCTTTTGAATCGACCACTACCTGTACTTCGTCAGAAATAACACCTGCAGCCACAGAACTACAAGTGAACACAAATCCTCCGACGAAAGTTGAAGTCCTGAAAGCCATAAAGCTACTGAACAGAGTATAGAATGGCAGTCACCCACTTACCTCAACTTGTCCACTTTGAAAAAGCCTTAGAAAGCGTCAACCGAGGAGTAATTTGACAGTTGCTTCAACACTACGGAATACCACAAACCTTTATCATTCTCATTCAACAACTATATGAAGACACCATATGCAAAGTATTTCACGATGGGAAGCTCAGTGATGCCTTTGAAGTGAAGACAGGAGCAAAACAAGGCTGCTGCCTACCATCACCCATGATATTCCAGATTGTGGTGGACTGGATCATGCAACAAACAGTGAGAAGCGAGAAGAGGGGTATACGCTGGCTGAACCGGGGAAAATATCCTGGAAGATTTGGATTTCGCTGATGACTTGTGTCTAATGTCATGTCGCACAGACCGAAGATCCACAGGCGAAAACTAACAAGTTGACAGAAGAGGCAGGGCAGCGAAACCGGGACTTCAAGCGAACGTAGAGAAGGTAGAGGTTATGAAGATACCCAACCTACGTCACCACCACAACAACAAACACCAATCACCATCAACAAGAGAAACTTGAAGGAAGTGACCTCTTTTACCCACCAAGTATGGCAGCATCGTTTCAACTACATTCGGCACAGGCACAGATGAGGATATCAAAACCAGGATCGGAAATACAGCAAGACAGGCCTTCATTTAACTGAAATAATCACTGTGGAGATCTACTGCACTCCACTCTGCATAGAGTGTGGACAATATCCGGATTTTAAACATCAATTCAGTCAAGTAAGTCAGTGCTTCCATGTGATGGTTGAGAGACTTAGCGCGTTACGAAAGGCATTTCCAACAAACTACAGATATACATCACATCAACAACTGCCTACGCTGGCTCGTTACTGAAGATCGATGAGATGGCGAGAATGATGAGAATAAGCAAGAAGGAACTGTGTCTGGCAACGAACTAACCAAGAATCTATCGCTCAACAAATATGCACTGTCAGGAAGTGTAGATAGATTGGGCATGCACTGAGGAGACCATTGAGAGACATCACGCTGCAGGCCAGGTACTCGAGTGGAACTCAGATGGGAAACGACGAGTTGGGCGTCGGAGACGAGGGTGACATGGAGGACATGGTGTGAGGAAGAAATGAGAGGTTGTGGGGAGTCGTGGAGCCAGATTGAAAAGATTGCGGATATAGTGCGGAGTGGAATGGAGATGTGTTACCGAATCCCTATGTTCCACTAGGAACCCAGAGGACAAATAATGATATAATAATAAACCAATAAAACGTGGTATCGATCACTGATGCATTCGGTGTCTATTAATGTGATTTACTGGCTAAAATATTTGCCTTCCATATTCGTCTTTTGAATTGGAATAGAATCTTATGGTAAAGGTAATTGCATATTATCACCAGAAGCTGATTTACATTAGAGAATCAAGTATCGATTATCTTAAGATATATATCAATCAGTCAACCATTCATTGTACTTTAAGTTACACTACAACATTGTTTCATTAGTTACTGTGTTATTAAATGATATAGTTTAGTGAAAATAATAATAATAATAATGACTTTATTCTGAAAGCTATTTTAGGAATACTCTACATAATTTTAAGCATTTCATATAGCATCAGCTCAACAGAGGTAGTGTACAAGTATACATAGCAAAATGAAAATACATAGAAATTACATGAAGAAAAGATAAGAATATTCACTCTATTTACAACCTTGTTGAAAATGCATAGTTAATTTAGGTTGACAATTAGCATTACCAATTAGATTCAGAATACATAAATAACACCAGATTGTGTACTTATCAATTAATTTGCCTTCAAAGCTGAAACTGATTAGTTAGTTCATTTCTAATACTTTCTTCATCATACAGCAAATAAGCTAAATACATACAGTATTGTAGAGTTTTTACACTTATTAGTATGTTCATAAAGTCTTATTTACTTGTTCCTGGTCTTTCCAGATAACTGACACGTAAAAGAGCTTCAAATAAAGAGGATGCTGGTCATCTGATAAAATAACTTCTACCAAATGTTTATATGAGTTAATAAGTTTGCTGATAACTGTTTTAACTAGAAGGTTAAGAGGTAGATCGATAGTCCTGCACACAATATATAGCGTAGTCCCTTTTCAGTAACCCAGGAAAGAATAAAGGTGAACAGGAGAAGAGAACAGGCAAGATGAAGGAGTTTATAAAACACAAGAGGAGAGTCTGCGTTATACCAGTTAGGTGGAAAATTCTTTTGGAAATGAATAAGCTACGGGAGTAGAAAGAAAGGTCTGAAGAAAAACACATGCTGAGATGAATCATAGTTGTAACAACTATCAATAGAACAGGAATAATGAGAACTAAGCAGTTTACAACGATAATGTTCACGTCTGAAACTAAAAGTCTATAGTCTGACATTTAGAAGAACTAGGCATAAGACTATTCACCGTGAACCAATGTCTAACAGTAGATAGGAAATCGTTCAGTTGAGAACAATCTACTGAAGAGGAGAAAGATACGAAAACTGTTAGGTTATCAGCATATTTGATGAAGTTGATACTAGTTGCACCAAGAAAATGAAAAGATCGAGCAAAAGAACGTCTCCTTGGGGAACACCAGATATTTTCTAAATGTTTTTCTAAAATCACTTCAATTTACCAAGAACATTAGTTGATTGGCTAATTTTAACATCACTAAGAGAATAAACATTCAAAGTATAAACATAATCATTTTTCTAACTATTCTGATCACATTTTGGGTAATTAGATTATGGAGTGTCTTTTTTTCTTCTATGAGTAGTATCATTTAGCTCAAGTTAGAATAGACAGTTGTTCTGTGTGTCAAGCCAGGTAAGATACCATACCGATTCATAAAGAAAATCTCTATGAATATACAGAAAGTACATATAGGATTTATTGATTTATTCTAATAGTACTTAGATGCAGATCTGCTATGCATTGGGTATGTTAAACACCTCGATGATATGTTCTGCTACATAGCTATATGAAAATAGTACTTTGTGGTTGATTTCATGAGTTAACTATGAGCACTGGATCAATGATGCTGTTCATTGCTTTTTTTTCTAAAAATAAAAAGTCCAATAATCTATTATTATCAATATTTGTCCTTGGGTTCCTAGTGAGCATAGGGATTCGGTAACACATCTCCATTCCACTCCGCACTATATCCGCAATCTTTTCAATCTGGCTCCACGACTCCCCACAACCTCTCATTTCTTCCTCATACCATCTCCTCCATATCACCCTCGGCACCGATGACCAACTGGTTGCTTCCATTTTGGATTCCACTCAAGGGCCTGACCCGGTGCGTGATGTCCCCAAATGGTCTTCTCAGTGCATGTCCAATCCATCTACACTTCCTTCTCCTGCATATTTGTTGAGCAATAGATTCTTGGTTAGTTCGTTGCCAGACACAGTTCCTTCTTGCTTATTCTCATCATTCTCGCCATCTCATCGATCTTCAGTAACGAGCCATCGTAGGCAGTTGTTGATGTGATGTATATCTGTAGTTTGTTGGAAATGCCTTTCGTAACTCGCTAAGTCTCTCAACCATCACATGGAAGCACTGACTTGACTGAGTTGATGTTTAAAATCCGGATATTGTTCACACTTTATGCAGAGTGGAGTGCAGTAGATCTCCACACTGTTTCAGTTAAATGAAGGCCTGTCTTGCTGTATTTACGATCTGACTTTGATATCCTCGTCTGTGCCGCCTGTTTGTTCAAGTTTAGTAATGAGTTATTTAAATCAGAGAAATACAATGAAACCATGGAGGAATTTCACAGCTATATTCTCTTTCCTTGTAATATTCTCACTTCACATTGTAGATCATACACACGTTTGTATTGACACCAGTTTACTTATTGTTTACTTGATAATGGTTAGCAGGGGAACCTAAGACATGCTTTTTATCTAAAAGGGAAACTGGTCAGTTGGGTTTACTTTCACCTCAGCCATTGATATTGTTCACATTGAAACTAGAACTTGTGAACACATTCTACTTCATGTACAATATCTTTGTCCGTTATGTTGAAGTTTAAAGCTACGATGGTTTAAACAGTTTTATTCATTCAATTGAGTTGATAATCATATTCTATCTATGAGTTTGGCTGTAAGTAAACAAAACAACTTTTCAATTCACCAATCACTCTTGATCTGATGAATGTGTGAATAATTTTCAATTCTTTACATTTTCTTAGTGATATATATTGTATCATAAAGTGGTATTCATCATGAGATGTACACTATCGAGGAGTTCCACAATAGGACAAGAAAGCTGTCCAGCCCTCCCAGTTTTCCAGTTGATAACGAAAACCATCTTCAAATCAATCAATCTCTACAAACGTTTAAACAGAATAGGCTATATTATCATTTGATTATTTGATATAGCTGTAGTTTGGTAGACTAGTATTTATACTGGTCGCCGGTTCGAATCCAGCTGTGGTGCAGATTTTCATCTCACCTTCGATCATCACCTAGTATAAATATGTTATATTGTTTGTTTATGTATCATCATACAAGTGTATCGATTAACTTTCTACAGTATTTACTGATGTTAACACCTATTCATTACTTTTCTTTCTTATAGCTATCATTTATTCGATGCATTCGAGTCTGCAAACACAATGGAGTATTTAATACTTGGTAACAACATTATACACTTCCGTTAATTGGTGTCAATAGTCAAGTAATTGGTGTTTTAGACATTTTTTCTTTAGACAAGTTAAACGATTATCAACTGGAGTATTTATATCAAGTTACAAAACTTTTGCATGAAGGTTATGTAGAATTAATCAAGTATACAGGTGTATCTACGACTGGTCAGTATACAGATGTCAGTGTTGAAGATTCCAGGATATCGACAAAACAGAAACAGAGTAAAGATACTGAAAAGTTAAGAGATGTTAAAAGTGATTGGTTGGATGATAATAACAAATTTACACCACAAAGAATTCAAAGGAATCTAACAAAAATGGAGTTGAATCTGTTGGCACTAAGAATCGATAAAAATGTAAGTTTTCAACAGGAGAAACAACTTATAATGACTCCAGAGTTTATTTATGTTAGGCTCCTGGTTCGATTTCCATCTCCTCATATACCAACAGTATAAATCCTTAAGGTTGCTTAATAAACAGTGTATAAAGCATTTGGTTAAGCTTGATCATTAGTATCTATGTAAGACCAGTGTTTTGAACTTGATAAAAATCTACTACTACTCGAAAGGAGTCATCAAAAACAGCCAGTAAAGTCACAAGGTTATAGTGGCTAGAAGGTCAACTCAAGGCCATCAAAAATTGCTTATAGAATTGCAATAAACAAATAGTAGACCAAGAAATGAGTAAACTGTTTTAGGGAGATTACGACGTAGGTTAGATTAGAAATTGAATGTATCTCTTTTGAATGCTAAAGCCTCTGCTGTATTAAGTTGGCGAATAAGCACTCCGCTCGAAATGTTTCACTTCACTTTATCAAAGGCTTTGAAAGAAGACTGTTGCGGAGCACAGTGATCAAATTTAACTTAATGCTGAAGAATAGAGCCGTTGATGGCATTAAATTCTCCTTTAAATGGCCGTGCAGGATAATTTTATATATGCGTTTGGATAGAACATGTTTTGTGTCCTATGTAACCATCTCTACAAGAGCAGGTGGTCCAAAGCGGTAGTTTATCTTTTACACACCCTTAACTCAGTTGCTGATTAGAGGAAACCATCCGAAACTGAGTGGAAAAGAAGGTCTTCTTCAGTGTTTTGTACAATCGATTGTTCACTATCTCTGCTGCTAATGTATCTCTTTTGAATCCAATAACGATCAATAGTGTCATTTTTGGAACCGTAGAAGTTCCTGCTTGGAAATGCTTAAGCCTCATGTTCCTCTTAATGAATCTTTGGGGGATAACCATTCCCGATGAATAGTCTCTGAAGTATTTCCAACTTCTATTTACTGCATCATCCGTACAAATTCTTCTAATTTTTTGCACAGTGAATGAATTCGATTTCTTTTCTTGACTAGAGGAACCAAACCTTGAAAATGAGTATATGAACCATACCAGGTTTGTTTTCTGTAAATCAATCTTCTTAGGAAGTCATCATGTCTTCTTTTCAATAGGACGTCAACGAAGTGGACTTATGAGTTATCTTCAGTTTCCATGGTAAATTTAATTGACTTGTGATGTTCATTGAACTTTCATAGTATTTCTTGAAGGTTACTATCCTCCTCATAGATGATGAAAGTTTCATACATGTATCTCTTATATAGATGGAACTAGTCGATCAATGGTCGCAATTTACTGTTTCTAGATAGGTAATGAAGTAATTAGCTAAGAGAGAACCCAATGGTGAATCCATTGCTACCCCATCTGTTTATCGATAAAGTTCACTATTCTTTATAAATTGTATATTGAAGGTACATAGTAAAATCAATTACTTCAGAAAATCTTTGAGAATCCTAATTTCATAATTATCACATAGAAAGCAGATTTTTCCCCTCAAAAGGATACATTTGAAGAGCCAACGGATGACCAATGATAACATACGTTTACCATACACATTGACATTTCTTATGAAGTTAATGAATTCGGAGTCAGATGTACCATTAATCGGATTCTTCACTGACTGAAGGATTTAGGTTAAGCAGTTACCAACACTATGATTTGATGAACTGTTCATGTAAAGAATTGGAAAAGAGAAACTTCTTTCACATGAACTTTGGGAAGACAATGGAGTGAAGGTAGTATCTCTTATCCAACTACTATATACGTATTCGTTGCCCAAGAACATTGATATAACATAGCTACACTGTTGTTCATCATGAATTAACTTCAGTATCAGAATCCATGACTTTCAATCAGCTTTCTGATATCTTATGCATTAGAATGTCTTTATCCATGCCATCCTTTGTTATTACTGTATTTTACCATCTTAGGTCTATTCAAAAGGATACTTCTAATTGGTTTTTCGTCAAAATCGTGTATTGATAAAAAAAAAAGTCATTAAAAAATTATTACCACCACGTAACTTATGTTAGTGTTACCTTATTTATTATTATTATTTGTCACTTGGGTTCCTAGTGGAACATACGGCTTCACTACCACGTCTCCATTCCACTCTCTTCTCTGCAGTTTTTTCAACCTCGCTCCATGACTGCCCACAGGCTCTTATTTCTTCCTCACATGATCTACTCCATGTCACCCTCACCTCGGACGCCCAGCTCGTCCTTGTCCATCTGGGTTCCACTCGAGCGACTGGCCTAACGCGTGATATCCTGAATGGTCTTCTCAGTGCATGCCCAATCCATCTTCACTTCCTTCTACTGCATATGTGTTGGGTAGTAGGTTCCTGGTTGGTTCTTTCACAGACACAGTTCCTTCTTGCTTATTCCCACTATTCTGACCATCTGATCTTCAGTATCGAGTGAGTGTAAGCGGCAGTTGTTGATGAATATCTGTAGTTTGTTCGAAATGCTTTTCGTGACTCTCCAAGTTTCTGAACCATATAGCAGGACTGACTTGACTGACGTTGGTGTTGAAAATCCGGATGTTGTTTACGCTTTATGCTGAGTGGATTGCAGTAGATCTCCACACTGGTTTCACGTTAATGAAAGCCTGTCTCGCTGTATTTCCGATCCTGGTTTTGACATCCTCATCTGTGCCTGCCTAGATAGGTGAAAAAGGTTACTTCCTTTAGATTTCTACCGTTGATGGTGATTGGTGCTTGTTGTTGTTGGTTGTGTATCTTCATCACCTGTCTTTTCTACATTTACTTGAAGTCCCGTTTTCGCTGCCGTGACTCTTTTGTCAACTTGTTAGTTTTTGCCTGTAAATCTTCGAGTGAACATTGTGCTGAAATTAAATCGAACTGTCGAGTTTTAAATAGAATGAAACGCGTATCCTAAATTCCTTCGCTAGTTAGTTCATTGTCAATCAAATTATACATGGAAGTTACGAACAACATACTGAGTTAGCCAATGAAATTATGACAAGCATTTATCGAATCAGTTAGGTGAAAAGTTAATAAATTTTCAGGATTAACCGTGTTTCAGACATATATGATAAAATCACCCGTTTTATTATAAAGCTAATAGAATTTTCATGATGTTTATACAACTATTTATATAATTATTGGTCATGATAGTTCAACTATTCAATAAAATTTTGTTTAAATGAATGTAACTTTTATTTGGCAATAAATTAAATCATAAACTAATATTTTTTTCTTTCTTTTCAACTACATTTTGTTCTTCTTTGATTAAAGCTTTTCAATGATATTAAGCAATACAATTTTCAACTTACTAACTCTGAAACTTACATAATATGGTGTACAATAATTTTAATCTATCCTTATCATGAATATGATCCATTGAATGAAGAAAATATTTTGAAACAATTAGATTTAATAAAGGATAATATTTATAAATCAATCATAGAATATGATCCTTTCTGTCATGAAAAGTATTCATCAAGCTTAAAAGTGAATCAATTATATGAACTTTTAGAAAGTAAGTTTTTATATAGGTGATAAAATTTACTGAATGAGCCAATAATATAGGTTACAATTCGATCCAAAATAACACCGGAAAATTAAAGATATCATAAGAAGTGGCTATCGTACTCCAGTAGCCTAATGGATAACACTTTTAGTGTAGGACTTGAGTCTCAGTGGGAACAATATTATATACTGTAGTCCAGGTACATCCAGCTGACGAGTCCTACGTAGGACGAAACGAGCATCCTGGGTTACTTCTACTAGCTACTACTAATCAAAATCATTTTAAATAGGATTCATTCTTTGACAGTTTTCATCAATTATCGAACTGCATAAAGTATGGTAAACTTTGGCTGAAGTATATTAAATGATTAGTGCTCTGGTAGGACTTTTCTGCTAATACAGTTGATTTAGTGCATATCTACCATGAAGATTTTGAGGTGAGGACGCTTCGTGTGTAACAGGAGTTGTTTAAACTTTTTATAGGCTTAGAATAAACGGACCTGCCGAAAAATGTAAACATTCAAGTAATTTGGTAGGTGGGATCGCTGTAAAACTGTAAACGTGTAATCAGAACGAAAAGGCTGCTGTCACAAACCATTATTTTACAACGGTCTATCAACTAAGAACTTATCGAAATAGTAGCGAATGTAAATGTAGCAGGGGAATAGTTCAAGTCAATGCACTATATACTACTAATATTGTCATTAGTGTTCCTATCCACTCCAAACAAAAATCCACCCCCAAAATCTTGGAGAGACTAAAAAATGCTCTGCATTCAAAACTACCACCGGAACAAGGTGGCTGGATTCAGGAACAATAAATCATGTGAGCATCAAATTGCAACCCTACGCATCATCATAGAACAGAGCATAGAATGACAGTCAACTCTTTACATCAACTTCATCGATTTTGAAAAAGCCTTCTATAGCGTCGACCGACAAGTAATTTGGAAACTGTTTCAACACTATGGAGTACCACAAACCTTTATCAACCTCATTCGCCAACTAAATGCTACATGATACCACATAGCAAGTGATTAACAATGGAAAGCTCACTGACGCCTTTGAAGTGAAGACAGGAGTAAAACAAGGCTGCCGACTACTATCATGCATAATCTTCCTTATTGTGGCCGACTGGATTGTGCAACGAACTGTGAGGAACAAGAAGATAGGCATACGATGTTAGACCGATGAAAACCTTCTGGAAGATTTGGATTTCGCCAATGATGATTTACGTCTAATGTCTTGTCGCACAAACTCGAACATCTACAGGCGAAAACTGCCGAATTGAGCGAAGAGGAGGGCAAGGCAGCAAAGACGGAAGTTCCTTCAGATGAACATAGAGAAGACAGAGGTGATGAAGATACCCAACCAACAGCGCCATCAACAACAAGCATCAAACACCATCAACAGGAGAAACCTAAAGGAAGTTGTCTCTTTCACCTACCGACCTGGCCAGCATTGTTTCAACTATACAGGCAGCAGTGGCGGCACAGATGAGGATGTGAAGGGAACCAAGACCTAAAAGACAGCAACGCAGGCCTTCCTTGATTAATCTGGAATCAGTGTGGAGATCTACTGCACTCCACTCTGCATAAAGCGTGAATAAAATCCGTATTTTCAACACCAACGTCAAGTCAGTGCTACTATGTGATGTTTGAGAGACTTGGTGCGTTACAAAAAGTATTTCCAACAAACTACAGATATACATCACATGAAAAGCTGCCGCCTATGCTCACTCGATACTGACATGGAAGATCGATGAGAAGGCCAGAATAATGAGAACAAGCTAGAAAGAACTGTGGCTGATAACGAACCAACCAACAAACTATCGTCCAACAAATTTGCAGAAGAAAATGAAGATGGGTTGGACTGGACTAGACATACACTGAGAACACCGTTTGGGGACATCACGCGCCACTCCAGACCAGGTCTTCGAGTGGGACCTAAATGAAAAAAGCACGAGTTGGGCGTCTGAGAGTGACATGGGTGGGATGGTGTAAGGAAGAAATGAAAGATTGTGGAGGAGCCAGGTTGGAAAGACTGCAGAGAAGACAGTGAAATGGCGATGCGCTAATGAAGGCATATGTTCCACTACGAACCCAGGTGACAAATAATAATAATAACAACTGCCATTAGTATTATATTAAATACTCAGTAAGCATGCTTAGTTTGATATGATAAATGTTTTTAAATTTTACCAGAGAAAAAATTTAAATTTAATGCCTAAAACTAATAATCCCAGTAAACTTTGTTAAGCTTAACCTAAAAAATTAGTGCTTAGCATCGTTATTGCTTCCTATTAGAAACCATTCTAAACTAGTCAATTCCTATGAATGGAAAGGAAAACTCAATGACATACGTATACTAGAAGATGATTAGGTTCAATGCAATAAGCCATTATGCTAAGATATTAATCAATATGGCACTGGAGGCAGTTGGAAATCAAGCTGAATATTAGTCCAGAATTTACTCAGGAAACTAGGGTATCAATCGATGAGATCATGTCTTCAGATTTGAGTTGTTTTGGACTGAAAAGTGGAACGAAGAACAGACGGTGGTTTAGATACTATCATCTACAGGAAACCAACACGTTCTGACAGGTATCTGAACCTTAGGTCATCTCATCCAATATCAATTTTGGCGGGTTTAATGAAGTTGTTAAATAATAGAATTAGGAAACTCACTAACCAATGCGAGGAGGTAAATAAGGAATTGAGAAATATACAGGAGAAACTACTGGTAGATAAGTATCTGCTGGAGTTTATTAACAAATTCATAAGAACCCATAAAAAAAGGAAGGATTAACAGTAATAAGAATAGTGACGGTAGCACAAATAGATAAGAGTTCAAGGTTTCTACCTTATAAAGAAAGAAAATCAGAGACTTTACGTTGAAGAAGGCTGGAATTCAGGTGGTATTCAAAACAATAAACTTGTTTTGAAGAACCCATTGACCCAATTGGACAAAATAATTTGATCTACCGAATATCGTGCAATGACTTTGAGGCCAAAATAACCGGTCGAGGTTAGTTAAATTATCGGAACATAGGAATCTAGTCAAGTTTAAACTAACAAACCACATCAATTCAAACAATAACAACAACAGGTTGGTGGAAAATCTTACTACCAATAAAAACAAAGAATACAAGGTGATAAGACTATAATAATCATATGTCGAAAGGTATATAGTTACATTCATATCATTATGTGCAATGATAATTTATACTCGAAACGTTATCAAGTCACACAGACAATATAAACGTAGAACATTATGCACAAGTGCATCGGTTCTAGTTGTCACACTTTACAGTAGTATACAAAGAACAGGTAGATAGAAAAAGAGTGGTCTCAAAGTAGCTAGAGAGAATAAATAATCAGAAGATAATGGTTATTGTGTACCTTTATCAACCTCATTCAACAACTATATGAAGACTCCACATGACAAGTAATTCACAATGGGAAGCTCAGTGATGCCATGGAAGTGAAGACAGGAGTGAAACAAGGTTGCCTACTATAACACATGATATTCCTGATCGCAGTGGACTGGATCATGCAACAAACAGTGAGGAGCGAGAAGAGGAAGATACACTGGCTGGACTGCGGAAAAGAACCTAGAAAACTTGGATTTCACCGATGACTTGTGTCTGATGTCGCACACACTTGAAGATCCACATGCAAAAACTAACAAGTTGATAGAAGAGGTGAGGCAGAGCAGCGAAAACGAGACTTCAAGTGAATGTAGGGAAGACAGAGGTGATGAAGATACTCAACCAACAACAACAGCAAACACCGATCACCATCAGTGGGAGAAACTTAAAGGAAGTAGCCTCCTTCACTTATCTAGGCAGCATCGTTTCAACTACAGGCGGCGGCAGCGGCATAGATGAGGACATCAAAGTAGCCAGGATCGGAAATACAGCAAGACAGACGTTCATCAACCTAAAACCAGTGTGGAGATCTACTGCACTCCACTCAGAGTAAAGAGCGAGATCTGGATTTTTAACACCAATTCAGTCAAGTCAGCGCTTCTATGTGATGATTGAGAGACTTGGCGCGTTACGAACAACAAACTACAGACATTCATCAAAAACTGTCTACACTGGCTCGTTACTGAAAATCAGATGGCCAGAAAGAATCAGCAACAAGGAACTGTGACTGTCAACGAACTAACCAACAACCTATCGCTCAACAAATATGCAGTAGCAGGAAGTGTAGATGGATTGGGCATACACTGAGAAGGCCGACTGGGGACATCATGCGTCAGGCCACGCTCTCGAGTGGAACCTAGATGGGAAACGACGAGTTAGGCGTCCGAGGCGAGGGCGACATGGAGGAGATCGTGCGAGGAGGAAATGAGAGCTTGTGGGCTGTCGTGGAGCCAGGTTCGAAAGATTACGGAGAACAGAGTGGGATGGAGACATGCTACTCAAGCCATATGTTCCACTAGGAACCCAAGGGACCAATAATAATAATAAACAGTTATTGTGTATATTCCAGCTTTAGAAGAGGTCAAAGTGTAGATACATCTGCGCCATTGTCACTGATTTTCAGGCTTATCACCAATAGTTCACAACCACTGATTCCTTTCGCCTCGCAACCTCAACCAGGTAGTCTATATCTTCCTACATGACTAAAATCAAAAGTAAGAGACTTCATAGAGTGATACTAAATCTTGTGGTGTGGCTAATCCTGAACATTCTTTCAACTTAGTTTAACCTTCTCTAACACAACACGTTAAAGTAAATAATACTCCATCAGTGTGTGCTACATCAAATAAACAAATCTTATACGGAATAACATCTACAAGGCTGAATGTAACTAGAGATAGTGATAAAGTGTAGTCCCATATTTGACTAATCGGTTTGACACACCGCCAAAGTGTTCAGTAAACGATGTTGCGAGTCGAATTCACTGCTCATAATTATATCAAGTTAATCCCGCTACTTCCTGCCTCAGTTTGGATTTATATAAATACTATTGTCCTTTCACTGATTTCAATGGCAGTAGGACTTTCCACATATCCGAAATTGGTGTTGAATCACTCTCATTTGGCATTTAATCGATGTTCAGATATTCAGTGATCAACTTCCGTCGCTTTATTGAACTACAACAGTCTTTTGGACTACTAACCTGTCCTACCCTACTGTGTATTGTCTCATGCAAGCTACGTCTAAATTACTCATTTTATTAGGAATTATTCTACATGACTGAAGCTCAAATCGCTCAAATTCCTAGTTTTGATTTATTTACGCGTCCTAATAAATTTCTGGGTAGATCCAGGAGAATACTTGTTCAGAAGTAAAGCTACTCTTATATGTTTCATCTCTCCATTTAAATTTCTAAGGTTATTGGATAGACTCCTAGCTCGATTACTTAAACATCTAACTAAACCAGCCTAGCTCACACCACTACTGCAGAAGGTTTGGAAGGAAGGGAAGGTATCTGCCGGTTGATTGGAAGAAAGGGTACCTTGTCAAACTCCTGAAGAAGGTTAACCTAAGTCTTTGCAAGAATTGGCGCGTAATCATGCTGCTGTCTACTCAAGCAAAGTAGCATGCCGCATCATTCTGGAGAGACCAAAAAGTGCTCTGCATTCAAAATTACGATCGAACAGGCTGGCTGGCCGGCTTCAGGAAAAACACATCATGTGTGGATCAAATTGTAACGCCAAGCTACGCAATCAATTCTTTACCTCAACTTCATTGACATTGAAAACGTCTTCGGCAGCGTCGATCGACAAGTAATTTGGAAGCTGCTTCAACACTACTAAGTACCATGAACTTTTATCAGCCTCATTCACCACATGCCAAGTGATCCAGAATGGAAAGCTCAGTGATGCCTTTGAAGTGAAGACAGAGTAAAACAAGGCTGCCGCTTACTATCATCCATAATCTTCTTATTGTGGTCGACTGGATTGTGCAACGAACTGTGAAGAACGAGGAGATGGGCATACGATATTTGATCGATGAAAAGATCCTAGAAGATTTGGATTTTGACGATGATGATTCATGTTAATGTTGCACAAACTCGAAGGTCTTCAGGCGAAAACTAACAAGTTGATAGAAGAGGCGAGGCAGGCAGCGAAAACGGGACTTGAAGTGAATGTAGAGAAGACAGAGGTGATGAAGATATCCAACCAACAACACCATCAACAACAAGCACCAATCACCAGAAAAAGATCAGGATTTTCAACACCAAGTGAACCCAGATGGGAAACGGCTAGTTGGGCATCCGAAGATGACATAGAGGAGATGGTGTAAGAAAGAAATGAGAAGTTGTGGGGAGTCGTGGAGCCAGGTTGAAAAGATTGCAGAGAAGAGAACAGAATAATCCAGCCTTTACTGATGTAGGCTGAGAAGATCTAAAGTATAGATTGGGATTAAAATGCTGGAAACATCATTTAACAGATTTATTTATAGACTAATAATTCCAAAGATAACCACCAATGTAAGTTTTCTAATACTAAAGTGTACATCCTATCCCTATGAAAAATCTTTATTTCTGAACTCAAATAAATCCTTTTTAAATACCAGTCTGATAAAAAGTTTAATTATTTCGTTTTAAAAATGAATTTTTTTTTCTCATTTTTTTTTCCTTAGAAATTTCAAGTGAAGAATTAAGTCGATATGCATGTGAATCAATGAAAACTCTTTATCAATGGATAAAATTATGCCTCACTGTTGTAAATTAAAACATCTTACTACATAAGATTATTGTAAACATTGGAAACAATAAATTTGAAGACTGAAATTTAAGAAGATACAACAGTATATCATAGACAATAATTAAAATAAGCATGAACATTATTATACATAAGTTCGAATGTAATATTTACATCTTTAATACCCTTCTAAGTGTATTATTTCTCTAATCACCTAATTGATAGCTAACTACGATATACGGTAGAATGAATTCTATGATATGAACAGTCAAACTGTACTATTCAATTCAATATGAATAGTGTGTGGTAGAAAAAACAAACAAACTATTGTTGTATACATCATGAAATATTTCACAAATTGATTGTTGCTACAACAACAACCCAGTTGTGTGAAGACTCTATTGAAAAGAGCAACAACACGCTGCACTGTAGTACAACAACTTCACCGAGAAACGAAGAAAATTACTTGATGTCCATTCTAAATAAGAACAGCTACCTACGAAACTTTATCACAACATGCCTATCCCACACATCATCAACTACAAAGTCATTGACAGAAATCAATAAATGCATCATCCTACCATACATAAAGAATATATCAGAAATCATGAAAAGATTGCTGAAACCACTTGGAAATGGTGTGGCTCATGAAGCAACAAATTCCCTCTAAACACTATTATGCAGACCAAAGGATGCGACAACCAAAGAAGACAAACCAAATAACACTTTCGAAATCAACTGGGATAACTGTAGTCAACACTATATTAGACAAAGTGGTCGTCCTCTTCGCTTTCGTCTACATGAATCTACATGGATCACAACTATGGACATGAATTCAATTTCGACAATGTAGAAATCTTAAATGCAGAGAGGAGACACAAAGAATATCATCAGGGAATTCCTAGAAGCTTCGCATTCCAACCAGTCAGTCAGCAATCAATAGATGTGTAGACATAGACCCGATCTATCAACCAATAAGAAAAGTGATAAACGACAGAAAGGTCAGAGATCAAGCAGAGGAACAGTCAATGACACAACAATCAAAGGAAACAACCAATCACAGACCACTTCGTCAAGGGAAGCTACTAAATCTCTCACTGACGGAGAGATACTGATAGCTCACTGATGATGATGTCGTCTACAAGAAGGACGATGAAAGCTTCACGATTAAAGAACCCAGGTCAGAGAACAAAATACAACCAAGACTTTTCATCAGTAATATGTGTCCAAAAAAGATGTGATCGAGACGAGTGATAAAAATCACAGGACAAATAGCAGATAACTTACCTGTTAAGTCAGATTAGCCCTGGTGGGTCGATGACTGATGAAATCTATGCATGTATACAGAATGATCGGTTGACTTTCGCCAACTTACACAATTCATGGCACCACCGTAATATCCACTTGCTCATTAAAGGTCGAGTTTATTCCGATATAGTTCTTACTGTTTAGCTGTATGACTGTAACATGGTAACCCAATGGAGAGTACAGGAGAAGACTTCAAGTGTTCGACTATCTTTAACTTTGTAGTCTAATAATAATGAAGCCAGGTGTAGAGTTTTAAGGCAGAGAATAAAGTCAAGTCCATGAATTCAGATGAACACAGAACTAGGTATTACTGTGTAACACTCAAAGTTGCCACACCTCATATCACTACATCAAGTAAAAACTCAGTGAGGTGCAAGATGAAGATAAGAAAATTCAATCAAAAGAAATATAAAGTACGAAGAGAGAGAAAGGAAGAATGAGAAAGTGGTGACATTCAGTATAGGGTCGTTAAAATGACCATAATGTGTGTGGGGATACATCTGTGCCACTGATATCGGTTCTCAGCCGTCCGATCACCCACAGTCAGTCTCCAGCCACTGGTTCCTCTTGTCCCGCGGACCTCAACCACCTAGTTTGCATTACCCAATATAGCTCAGACCAACAGTCGAACACCTCATACATTGATGCCATGTTTTAGACTTGCCACCTCAGGCCTTTTTTCAGCCTGGTCCTACTTCAGCCAACATTGTGTGACGAGGCAGTCAGCGACTAGGCATACGTAGCACGTGCTCCAGCAATCTCAGTCGATGAAGGTTCATAACCTCGTCAACTGGTTTACCTCTGCTCCCTAAAACTCTACTCCTGACTTCTGCGTCACTCACGTGGTGACACAACGGAACACGGCCTGTACTACGAAGACAACGGTGGTGAAACACCTGAAGCCAGCCTTCTCATATCTTCCACTTTCAATGGCCATATTTCACAGCCGTAGTGTAGAACAGACTGGACTGCTGTGCAGGTGCAGTATACGCGACCCTTAACAGACAATCGGATATCACGGTGACCCCACAGGTGGCATAAGTTGACGAAAGCAAATCCAGTCTTTTGTATCTGTACAGAGATTTCATCGGCCACTGAGCTACCAGGGCAGTGCTGGTCCTACTTCACAGGTAAGTGAAGTGGTTAACACAGTCGCTATAATGTCTATTGTTAACCATGACACCGTTGAAGACCAGTTGTGGAGCAACAATTAGCATTTTGGGTGGTGAGAAATGCAAACATTCTCAGATTGCTACTCTAAGTGTTCAGAAGACTCTGCATCTTGTTAGCGTCTTCACCCAACAGGACTATGTCATCTGCATATATTCTAGGTCAAACGAAAATTCTCCCACAATTATTTCAACCTTTGTGTAGTCAGTCAGGTGACGAGAGGGAGACCTCCATAAGAATATCTATGATAAAAATGAATGAGAATGGAGACAGTGGGCACCCCGACAGACACTACTCGATGACCATTGCTCCCTGGGCATCTCACGATAATCTCTAACACGTCCACAAGTGTTCGAGTAGAGAGCCTTCAATAAGGTGGTGATATACTTACTCGGCAAGCCTTTCAATGAGATACACTGCCATAAGACTTCTCGATCAATGCAGTCGAATGCCGCCGTCCTCAGGTCGAGAAATACAGCCAGTGTCGGGCGTCGGTAGGCGTATCTGTCTTCCAGGACCTAACAGAGTGTGAATATTTTGTCGATAGACTCACAGCCGGGTCTAAATCATGTCTGGTTTTCTCGGGCTTGCTGTTCCTGAGCTCCACTCAGGCGTCGAAGAATTATAGAACCTAGGATCTTGGACACTTTATTCGTCAGGCTGATTCCTCTGTGGTTATCACAAGAGGACTTCTCGCTTTTCTTGAAGACTGGGATAATTATTGATTTAGACCAGTCAGAGGGGATCGTATTGGATTCCCATATACTGGTTAACAGTCCCATTACCCTAACTAAGAGCACCTTACGATCATCCTTGTATACCTCAGGAGTTAGTCCGTCTGGTCCTGCCACCCTTCCTCGTTTGAGGTTACCTACAGCTTTCTCAACTTCTAGTGTTGAGGGGGCCTATCTCGACGTTGCATTCAGAATCCGACTGGATAGCAGACAACGTAATGGTGGGTGGAGGTCAGTTAAACTGTTCCTCGAAGTGTTCTACCCATCGTTCCAGTCGTCTCCCCTGCGAGTGAATCGCAGATCCCTCCTTTTCTGCTATAGCATCACTAACTGTTGTTGACCCTTTCGCCAAGTCTCCTTAATAAGTCTAAATAACTGTCTACTGTTACCAATCGCCACTGCCTTTTCCATCTCTTTGGCCTTCGATGTCCATCACTGTTCTCGGTCTTTTCATAAACTTTTTCTCAATGGTTTTTTGAGTTGCGCTCACTCTTCATTGTACTCAGAGCCTGTAGGGATGCGTTCACGTGCATCCATTATTTCGGAAGGTGCTGCTGATATCCACTGGCTCTATTTAGCCACTATTTTGGAGTCGGCTACAGTCTTCAGCATGTCTTTTGCAGCAGACTGGAGATGGCATCAAGCTTCTTCTTCGTGAGCAGCAGTCTTCTGTTACGATAGCTGCCTAGCCTAATTCTCACTGAACACAGCTTTGGTGTTTTCGTTGTCCAGCAGTACTCGTGGTGGTTTTGTTGACAAATTTTTCTTCCGTCCATTAGGACGCAGGCCTTTACGCACTCGGACCAACGCGTGGTGGCTATCCAAACACGTACTCCAGAAAGAGTGGCAGTCTTCCACCGATCCACTCCACCGATGACTAATACCAATGTAGTGTATCTGTGTCCATCGCTGAGTTGAGGTGAAAGTGTCTTTCTTCATGTCTGAAATTTGTGCTAGCTAAAAGTAGGCAGTTATCTGAGCATAGTTGTTGTAGGCAGTCATCGTTATGTGTACGTTCAGCTGGGATTCCGAAAGTGCCACCTAAATGCCTTTCTGTCTTACTCAGTCTACCCACCTATGAGTGGAAATCACCTGCAACAACCACCAAGTCCGAACGTTTGGCTTTCGAGATGAGGCTAGACAGTTTTCGGTAGAACTCATCTTTCACTTCATCCCAGCTACAGTCAGTGGCTGCGTAAGCACAGATTCCAAAGAGACAACGGTGAGTCTCACTATTGCTTTTAGTTCTCAGAGTGCCCTTCAGTCGGATATCGCAGAGGTGACTATCAAATGAGATACAGTCTAGTAGTGAGTTTTCTGCCCTAATGCTAAATGCTGTGCCTACACCTGCAAGACCACGAGAGCTAGCTATCGAATCTCCAGAGACTCGAAGGGTGAATTTTGCAGATTCACCAGAATGGCCGGGAGATGTTAGGTGAGTAACCACACTTGGGTCCTGTATGCGTGTCTCACAAACACAGCAAACATCCATGGCCCGAGTTGCTAGTGTCTTTGCCAACGAAGCCTGTTGACCAATTTGAAGGAGGGTGTGGACATTGAAGGCTCCAATATGTAATTTGGAGCATGGTTTAAGGAGACCAGTGATGCTGTTTTGTGAACTCAGATCGTTGTCAAAGGCTGCAGAGGTAAGAGAAGTTGAAGATGATGTAGCATCGTTAGTTGAGAGATGTGAAGGAAGATTAGAAGGTAATGATGGGGTAGGTGGATAGTAAGCAGTCTGAGGAAACTCGAGTGCTGACAGAGTTGTGAGGGTGGTTGACACTTCCTAGCTGCCCATACCGTGGAAGGCTATTTTTT